ATAAAGCAAACACAAACAGATTGGAATAGGACAAAAGAAACAAACAGAAGGAAAACAGCCCAAGGAAAGACACAAATCAGATGCAGACAAAGAGACTCACATGTTTGCACACTCAGGGACCCCAGAAAAACACTGCACTGGGAGCCACAGTATATATGCAAAGGACCTGAAGGATAACAAAAGAGACAGAAATAAAGATTAAAAAAACAAAAAAAGCCCTGACACCAGAGACATGGGACAGGGAAGCCTCCTCCAGAGGTGCCATTGAGTTCTTTTTGGCCATCTCCTGCTGGGCATGCAGCCTACCCCTGAGATTAGTTTGTTTCCCAATGAGACTTCCTTGGAGAAAACTAAATTTTCATTTGCAAGTGGTTACCAACTGGAGATTGCTTTTGGGTTAGGGATGACGGAAATGTGTCCACTTCTTTGGGCTCTAGGACCCCATCTGTGCAGACCCATGCAGGCCCTGTGCATACTGCCTTATTCTCTGTGAGTTCATATATGTGTCAGCTCCGTGCTACACAAGGCCTCCTTTCCTTGGTGTCCTCCGTCCCCTCTGGCTCTTACTTTCTGCCTCCTCTGTTCAGAGTTCCCTGAACCCTGCCTGAAGAAAGAAATTTGATGGAGACATCCTTTTTAGGGCCAAGTGTTCCAAGGTCTTTCATTCTCCGCATGCTGTCTGGCTGTGGGTCTCTGTATTAGTTTCCATTTGCTGCAGGAGGAAGCTTCTCTGATGATGGTTGAGCAAGGCAGATGTCATTTTGTCACTGCATTTCTCCTAGTAGAACAGTAATACTTGGTTTTCCTCTAGGTCCCTGGGCGTCCCAGATTCTTGGTCATGCGGGCTGGATATGGGTTCCATCTAGTGCAGTGGGTGGGGCTTAAGTGGAATCAGATTTGGTTGGTTTCTCCCACAAGCTCTGTGCCACCATTACACTGGCTCATTTTGCAGGCAGGACAGCACTGCAGATCAAAGGGTTTACAGCTGTGCTGCTGATGTTTAAGAGTTCTCCTTCGGTAGTCTGCAGAGTACCTTCCAGTATCAAGGTCACTAACCAGTAGGGTGAAGGCTCTCAGTAAGCACCAATTTTCTCTTTCAACAAAAGTCAATTTGTCTTATAATTTCTAATTCTCAAAAACTCTACCTGTATGTCTCTCTTTTTCTTTTATTTATTTATTTTTTCTCTTTTTTAAAGAGTTTGGCCAAAGAATGAGAATATTCCACAATCAGCCTATACGTTTATGGTAGTTGCATAACAAATGCCTGAAGAACACCTGTTGGATTTAATATTTTCCTTTTATATTCCTGTGGCTGTCTCCAGCATTTCCCATTAGATACTAAATACCTTCTAGCAAAATGTAGCAAGTAAATAAAGGCAAGTTTGTAGTCTCTCTCCTCTCTGTGGACTATATGTAGATATGTGTAAACACTGTCGATACAAATGCACTTAAAGTATCAAGATTCATTGCATTGCTATACAAATCTAGCTGAGATTCAATAGCCTCATAATTTTTCAAAATAAAAAAAAAGTGACCACATATAGTTGTTCTTTATAACTTTTGCTCAGGTTATCTCATTCAGTCAATATTGTTTGTTTCAAATAACAGTATTGTTTTTTTATATGATAATGTTCAATGCTATGTAGTCTCACTAGAAGAAGCAAATGTCCAACTAACTTGAGAAGAGACCCAACAGATACACAGAGGACTATAAAGAAGTCTGTACCAACTGTGCAATGCAGAGCTGTGATACACATGGACTTGCTTGCTATAGAAACACTGTATTTTACTTCCTATCACTTACTGGCATGTTGGCAAGGGTGGAAGGAGGCACTGGGAAGCGGCTGTTTTGAGATTCAGAAGTTTACAATCTAGACGTGGAGACAAAGTAGCACACATGAGAAGTTAAGACATTCCCATTGTTGTATGAATAAATCATCCATCAGAACATTAATCCAGGTATGTGTAAGGATCAACATTAACAAAGAAAGTACACAGTTAATATAACTTTGAGTTATATTATATAACCCATATATTACATATGAGTAGACCAGAAGAGATTTAGAGATTTACAGACAGGAAATGAACATGAGTTAGATCTTTGGAAAAATAAATGAATAGATTATTAATTTTTAAAACAAGAATTGACAATGACATTTAAGTTTTTTTCACTCATGACTCTCAGGCTTTTTCCAGGAATAGCTGTAATTTTTCTTATTTTTTTTTTTAATGCACTTTGAGCTGATTTAGGCTTAATTGATTTATACTGGCATGAGTAATGAAGGGTTAAACTCGCTATCCATATATATATAAAACCAACAGACTCATTCAATGTAACTTATACAATAGGGACCTACTTATAGATTTTCAGGTACCCTAGTGGATTTCCAAGCTGATCGTTGCCATGGTAATCCTTGTTCCATGTGCCTTCAGCTTCTCTTGACCCACTTTGGTTTAGATGCATTTCCAACTGAGGGGATAGCAGGCAGGCGCCCCCTATTCCTTCCTTCAGCCCTCTAGATCTTCCAGAGCCGTGGCTCTCAACCTTCCTAATGCTGTGACCCTTTCACACAGCTCCTCATTTGTGGTGACCCCAACCATAAAATGATTTCCTTGCTACTTCATAGCTGTAATTTGGCTACTGGTATGAATTGCAATGTAAACATCTGATATGCAGGATATGATATTGTTGGGAACCACTGCTCTAGATCTCAGAAGGCTTTCTAAACGGAGGAGTTATAACCTCAAAGTATGGTTGGAGAGATGGTTTAACCCCAATTCTAGAAGCATAGAGAATCCACGAAGCCCTACTTTCCCCTCCCCTTGATAACTACTTGTATCATACCCAAATCCACATATGAATCACACAATTGTATTTTATGATTCTAGACCACTTTTAAGAGGCCATTCTGTTAAGGCTGTTGATGTGTATCAGTGTAAAAGAGGGTTGCAAGTCAGAACCAGTTTTCCCCCTTCTAGCCTGAGTATCATTTGCCGTAACCACACACCCAGGTGGCCTCGGGAGTTTGAGAGATCTGCTTAAGTGGTGCCTCTCGTTTACTGTGGGGAGACTGGGGGTAAAACTAGGACCTAGTGTGGGGAGACAAGAGCTGTACCAGAGAAGCACATCCTCTGCCCACAAACTATTAAAATGGGGGTTATGTGGCCTTCCTCTAAAACTCTCAACAGAAGACATACCCAAAACCCTACCTTCTCTCTGTGCAGGTGAATTTCTGCCAACTTCATAAATATCTGCTCACAAAGGTAAGTTAATAATCCTTAATTTTCCTTTAGTTTCAAAGCCATTGCAAGTGAGTACCACTTTGTTGAACGCCTTGGGTTTGGATTAGAGCTGAATTCAAAACTATGACTGGCTTATATGTGGGATTCTTCACAACTTTCCCATGAGAATAGTGGTAGAGATTTTGAAAGCCAATTAAAAAACAAAACAAACAAACAAACAAACAAAACCTGTAAGTCTAGACGCATAAGCAAATAACTCAAGGTCCAAATGAAGGCTTCTTCTCTGGGATGTCCTCATGTAAGAAAAGAGGGCATACTTCACTCTTAATTGCTTCAAGCTCCTGGACTGCTTTGTTTTGCTGGTGAGGCTTGCTGGAATAGCTTGAATCTCCCAGAAAACATATGAAGAGGTAGGTAGGTAGGTAGGTAGGTAGGTAGGTAAGTAGGTAGGTAGGTAGGTATACTCGAGCACGACAAACAGCCAAGGAAAACTGTCTTCTGGTATTGTCTTTACCACTAGCAACCTGGAAAAGACATTTCAAATGTGCTCCCTGTCTAACTAACACTGGAGGTGATTATTTGGGATCCAATCTCCCATCTGCAAGGGTTGAGTTAAAATCCGAATGAACCTGGTTGCGCCGCTGTGGGCAGTCTAAGTTTGGGGGCTTGCTTCTTCGATAGGTAAAGGAGAAAAGTTGGGGCCTAGGAACAGGGGCACGGTGAAGGTAAAATGACCTAGGGACAGCAGCTCCAGGAGCACACCGCCAGCGGCTCACGCTTCACAGGGAGCATTGGAGGCAGGCATCATTAATACTTCCACTTCGGAAGGTTCGGGTTGGAGAAAACCGCCCGCCTCGCTGCTGCCGGGGCCGGCACAGACAAGAACTCTCTAACCCCGCCGTTCTTCGGCCCCGCCCGCTCATTTGCGTAGGGCGCGCCCCTCTGCGGCCGGCTCTCGGGTTTCCGCCGAGCTCTGCGGGCCCAGCGGCTCAGGCCGGGCCGGGGGCGGGCCCGGGCCCGAGCACGTGTCCACTCGGGCCTCCCGACGGAGGTGGGCGAGGGCTGGGCCGCGGCGCTCCACCCAGAGGCGCCGGGGCGGGGGGCTGCGGGCGTGGCGGGCCCCGTGGGAGCGCGCCGGACACGAACTCCAGCGCAACCGCGGGCGTGCCACCCCGCCCGGCCGCGCCTCGCCTCACGCTCGACGGGGAAGGCGGGACCAATCAGCGAGCGACGTCTCCCTTCCGATCCCGGGCCCCCGGCGCGCCGCTCACACCCCGGGCTCCCCGCTCGCTGATTGGCTGCGTGCGCCGCCGGTCGGGCCGGAGGCGGGAGGCGGCGGCCCGCGCCTGCCCGCGCCCCGCTCGGCCCCCGGCCCTGCCCGCGGCGCCCGGCCTCCTCCTTCCGTCCCTGCCGTGCTCCCTCCGTCTTCCGTGCGCGCCCCGCTCGGCCGGCGTGCTTCACGCCTAACGGGCGGCCGCAGGCGCCAATCAGCGGGCGGCAGGGTGCCAGCCCGGGGCTGCGCCGGCGAATCGGCGGGGCCCGCGGCTCGGCGAGGGAGGCGGGGCTACCGCGCGCGGCGGCGGCGGCGGCGGAGGAGGAGCAGCGCGCCAGCCTGCAGCTCGCGAGCCGCCCGGAGGTAGGTGCGCGGCGGCCGCGGCCGGGGCGGAGGGCGGCGGCGCGGGGTGCAGGCGAGGCCGGGGCGCGGGGACGCGCCGAGCGGAGCTGGCGGCGCCCGCCCGCCCGCCCTCCCCACCCGTCCGCCGGCCGCGGCGAGCGCGGGCCTGGGGGCGGGGCGGGGGCCCGCGGCGCAGTTCCGCCTGCGCGCGCCCACTCCTCCGGCAGCGCGGAGCCCGTCGGAAGAGGAAGGAACAAAAGGTCCGAGGCTCGGCTCGGACGGGGCGGGACCTGGCGCTCGGTGCAGGTAAAGCCGGGGCGCCGGGAGGACCGGGCAGGGGCGTGCGGGGCAGGGTCACGTGGCCGCCCGTGTGGGGTGTGGCGGGCCGTGGCGCGGGCCGGGGTCGGCGCCGTGGGCAGGGCCGCGAGCCCCCGCCCCGCCCCGCCTGGCTGCGGCCCGCTCGGGTCCCGGCGCGGCCGCGCTCGCCGTTTGCATTGCCGAAGGGCCCGGGAGCCGAGTTGGGGCGTGCGGTACTTTGCTTCCACTTTTTCCTTTTTTTCCCCCCTGTAGCCTTTGTTAACCGTAACAGGCGCGGGTTCCGAATCGCTCGCTGTGTGTACTCACTAACACGCTCGAGGCTGGGACTCCCGGGCTCATCCTCCCTCCACGCACTTGGGAAAGTTGCTCGGTGGGTGCAGCCTATTAGCTTCTAATCACACGCCTTTCGGAAGCATGCTAATTGATTGCACATATTTGAGACTTGGTTTTCACAATCGGTGCTTGGATTTATTTTGTTTTAGGGAGACTGTCCTTGGGCCAGGTACTTTTGTCTTATTATGGTTTCCTTGTGAACCTAAACAAAAGAAAAAAAAAAAATCTGAGGTTGGATTTTGTTATTCCTTCCTTTCGTCCTTAAAGGCAAAAAACTACCTGTTTGTTCTCAGACCAACTTAAAAAAAATACACCCAGGTGAAAATATTTTACCTTACTTCAGGCCTTGTGGGAATATTCTAAATAGTGATGTTTTAAACTAATGAAAGCCATGTCAATAAATGAGTCATCAGACAAATGTACCTGAAGATCTTTTAAAAATGGTACCCTGATGTCAGTTTCCAAAGTCCTTTTTAGTTTTTTCCTGATTTCAATTGACCATGTAACACTGATAGAGGGGATGTTTGTTTTGAGCCTAACACAAGAATACGTTTGCTACCATGCTGAAAATATCTTTACTATTAGTTTACTTTGATCCCTGTGAAAAGCAATTTTCCCCTTTATAGAGAAGTGTGAAGTAGTCAAAATGAAGTTGGAATAGTTTCAGTTCATGAGTTAGTGAAGCAGATGGGACCCAGGCATGGGAGAAGTATTACAGTTTAAGGTCTTTTTTTTTTTTTTTTTCCTTCTATTTAACTATTAAACAACTCCATAGAGATTGTTTTTTCTATTAAGGTCATTTGGCAAATGTTTGTTAAGTTCATGAGGTAACACTGCTTTTATTTTTAAAATTTGTTTTTGCATAAACTTACCTGGGTGGTAAGAAAAATTGTTCTGATCTTTGGACATTTGTAAAGTAAGTGCCAGTTGACTTAATTGAATTTAAGGCTGCACACTGGCTAGGCTTAATTGCTGTATACTGTGATTACAAACCTCACTTGTGTTCCTTAGTGAGACACTGTTCCTAAAGCTTGGTGTTTCCTATATTGTTCCTACACCTAAAGTGATTTCATGATGTAGGTGTTCAACAAAGTTTGGTCTTGAGGGTTCTAAGGTATTTGTCACTAAACAGCTATGCAATCTGTATGGTTCATAAAGTAATAGTCTTGGGAGAAACTGCAGAGTGATTTCCTGTTTGTGGCCTGTTAGGCTTGCTTTGTGTTTGAACTCCCAGTAAGACTATTGGGGCTGGTTTTGTACACAGTCCTTCCCTGTAGGTGAGCTACTAAACAAGGGTAACAAGCAGTCCCCTTCTTGCCTTGATGCTGTAGATAACAAATGTAGCTGTAACCTCAGGACTTTACATCCAGGAGACTGTGAGTGAACAAACAAGCAAACTTAACTCAGTTCAGCTGTAGGAACTGGTGGCTGAGGACCTTTTTTGTATTTGTCAAAAATAACAGATCTGTTCTCCTGGTTTTAATGCTCTGGACTCCGGAAGCCATGTTTGTAGCAGCCATATTTATACAGGTGCTTTTGTAGTGCATGCAGGAGCTGTATATAGTGCGGTCTGGCAGATGGAGGTTTATTCATATTCTTGGGACAAGAATCCTTTTTAGGGGGTGGAGAGAGGCATATCTTTTCAGATGCTTTGTCTGAGTAGAAGCAGAAGAGACATTGTAGGCCCTTGGTTTCTGTAAGTATTGCAAAGGTGTGTCAGAAAAGTGGCTATAAAGAATTCACTATCATCTCTCAACTGGACAAGTAAGACTTGGTGACTACAAACTTCTTCAGCTGCTGGTCACTCCAGTATTCCTTAGTGGAATTGGGGAAACAACTTGTGTCTTGTGACCAAGGCCACAGAGTGAGAAAATTATGTTAGAGTATGAATTGAGGAGCCTGAACAGTCAATAAGTTCTGTCATAGTAGGTTCTTGAAATATACCTGCATTGCTTTCCATCAGGTGTTAAGGGCAGCACTAGGGAAGAAAGATGAGATGTCCCCTATGTCATTAAGAACAGTCTCTTTGTTGAGCTGGGAGTTGTGTCTGCCGCTTTTTGCAGTTCATTCAAACTGAAGATAGGGCTTATCAGAAACATGCTAGTTGAGCAGAGTTGTACTGTTGCTAAACTTAATTCGGTCTCAATTTGATTAACCATTGACCTTCGTTAAAGAAAGTGGTTAAGGAAAGAAAAGGAACTTGAGTCATTTGGGTTCCAGTGAAAGGAATATTGTATGCAATAGTTGAAAGAATGCTGATTGGGCAGCATTGTCATGTGGTTGAATGGCCTTGGAGTTTGGTCTCAAAGCCTACGGCTAGTTTTTGGTGTCTAGGTTGTGGTATTGGTAAATTAAATTCCCAAGTCTTGGTTTCCTTACTAAAAGTGGAAGGGGTAGCTTTTATCTCTTAAGGTTGTTATAAAATTAGTTAGAAAACATTCTTGAGACAGGATTCTGTCAATTTAACACTCTTGTTCTTTAGTTTGTTCTGTGGGCTCTTCTTAGTGCACGTGATTTGCTAGTACTATTATCCTGACCTCCTATAAATTGGGATGAGAAACAGACATTGAGCCTCTAGGTCTTCAGCCTAGTTGGTACCTTAAAGCATAGAGGGGGTCCTTTCAGGTCCTTGGTTAGAACCTGGTGGTATTTATTTAGATGCTTTCCACAAAGTTATCTAGCATCTAAGTCCACAGTAGACTGAAGCTAGTACACTATGGTTAGTGTGGGAGGTTTGACAGGGTGTGGTGGGGAGTAGATAGGATGGGGGACTTGTAACTTACTGTCTTTGTTTAGAGAAAACAGGTAACAGCCTGGAGGAGATAGCAGATAATCTTGAAGACACAGAAGAGTTACCTCAAGCTTGACTAGCGTGTCTGGAGCGGTTCAGAGCAGGGCCAGACCTGAAAGCCTAGTAGTAAATGCTCATCAGTTAACTTAAATCTGGTTTTGGGAAAACCCTTTTAAAGATCCTTTATCTACTTAATATACTTAGATGATTATTCATGATGGCTAACAGACTGGGTAGAGAGAGCATTGTGGTGTAGCAAGGATTTCAGGAAAGATCCACAGCTCTGCTCTCAGACTGAAAAGTCTTTCTGCTAGCCAGCACTCAAGAAAGGTGACCCTCCTCGGGACACAGCTGGATCACACTGGATAGAAGCACATCCTTTCTGTTAGCCTGCTGGTGTTAGGTGGGAGTTTTCACTCTGGTCAGGGTTGCTTGTTTCTTCGTATTACTAGCTTTGGTTTTGGGGGGGGAAAGCACTTACTGAGATAGGGTTTCACTGTGTAAATAAGACTTTCTCACACTAGCCTCAAACTTTCTATGTAGATCAGGCTAGCCTTGAACTCTGGATTCTTCTGACTCAGCCTCCAAGTACTGAGATTACAGGTGTAAGGTAATATGCCTGCCAACTTTACCTATTTGGGTCCTCCTTCCTACCTCAGGGTTATTTTCTAAATTTATATCAAGTAATTATTGGTGGCCCTTTAATAAGCAGCCTTGTCTGATTTACCTGTAATAAAGAAACTAGTCTTTTTCATTAAAATTTTACAGGGGCCTATTGCTTGCCACTGATCAGTTGTAGTTATTTTCTGTAACGTTGTGATGGTGATGCCTTTAGTTATGATTCTAGATTTATGTCATTAAACACAATTCTTAATTCACTTCAGTAATTTGATATAGAAAAAATACAGTTTTGTCAAGCCAGTTGGGTTTAGGCATTGCCTCTATTTTGGCTAGGTGATTTTGTGGTCTTCCTCTTCCCTCACACCCTGCAGCGTGAGTGATCTGTAGCTCAGCCAGTTTTGCTTAATCGGAACTGAATGCACTCTCAGGACAGTTGCCTGGTGATTTGCTGTGTCTTTATATTTGTCTTTAAAAACATTCTTTCATAGTCGTATACAAGTATAATGTCCTTTGAAAATAACCGCCTGGTTGGCCTTTCTTATACTCCCCTCCACCTCCCACCAAACCCCTTCTCAATAGATCCCTTTTCTTGCTGTCATGCCCCCCCTTTTTTTTTGACTTGTTGCTGTTTATAGAGGTGCTTGCATGAGCATGGGTTGTGGGTTATTTACTTGAAAAGAGATAACTTAATAGTGACTGCCACTGAGGCATATGATTCCCTTGCCCCAGTACCATTGACTGCTCTGGGCCCTCATGAGCCTCTGTGTCCATAGTGAAATCTTGATGGGGCCAGTCTTGTGCAGGTGACCCAGCAGCTGTGAGTTATGGTTGCAGCAGTCATCACAGCCGGAAGATGAGGTTTCACAGCCCTCCTTCCCATCTTCTGGTTTTTTCTGGTCCCTCTTCTGTTGATAGGAGGGTGCTGTACCTGTCCCTTGTAGGGGCTGTGTGCTCACCACATCTCTTACTCTGAACTCTTCAGCTCAGAAGAGTCCCCACCCACTCACTACAGCAGCTAGCTTGTAACTGATTAAAAGACAGTTTGGGACCCTGCTCATTTAGCGAAAGACCAGTAATAGGTTCTTCTTTATGGCCTGTGACCTTTTGGGTCTTGGGCTTGTGGCCAGGTTTACAGTATCAGAAAGTGGTTAGTTGTTCCCATAACAGTCATGCCACCATTGCACCTGTGGGCACATGCTGACTGGCAGGTTGGTACTTCCAAAGACTTGCAACTAGGTCAAAC